TTAGTTTTGAAGATTGAAATGCTCATAATGATGTGAAGTGCTCTCATATTTTTAAATCACTCTATACTGCAGATCCCCAAATTCTTATTATTGCTAAATTTCAGCTGCTCATTTATTATTATCAACATGTTGGTTTAGAAAAGTGTTACACTGCCTTTTTTACCAAGGCTCAAAACCTCATTCTAAACATACGGTGAAATTAGCTGGGCCTTATGAATGATGTCCTTAAAAATGCAAAAACAACAGACCAAGAAACCAAGCCATCCAACAAGATTGATAAAAACTTATATCAGCTGAAGTAAAACCACAGAAAAGTTGTTTTATGTAAATTTGTCATTTTTTTTTTAATACGGAAATTAAACAAACTAGAACACAGTTGACTGTTGATAACTTTCCCTTGTTAATACAAATATTTTTGGGAGCAATCTACTGTCAAGTAGCTAATTAACTACTTTCTTAATGAAAACAGTATGAGAAGTGACAGTGAGCCATACACACAAACATGTTAAGAACCACAGTTTACAGAGAAACCATATAAAACACTGCTAGAAACCTGTTCTTTTTCTCCATACCTAATCACAGAATCAAAGAATCATTGACGTTGGAAGGAACCTTTCGAGATCAACTAGTCAAACCTCCCTGTTTAAGCAGGACCAGCTACAACAGGTTGCCCAGGACCGTATCCAGTCAGATTTTGAGTATCTCCAAGAATGAAGACTCCACCACCTCTCTGGGACAACTATTCCAATGTTTGACCACCTTCACAGTAAAAAAGCATTTTTTGTTTTTCATGTTTGTAGTTTGTGCCCATTGGCTCTCTTCAGAGAGAGTGTCAGTGGGCACTACTGAGAAGAGTGTGCCTGTCTCATCTTAATTCCCTTTCAGCCAGCATTGACAAGTCCCTCCCAAGCCTTCTCTTCTCCAAGCTGAACAGTCCCAGCTCTCTGAAGGTCTCCTCATCATTTTCATCATCCTTCACTGGATTCAAATTAGTAATTCCATGTCTTTCTTGTACTGGACAGTCCAGAACTGGACACAGGACTCCTGAGGGTACCTCACCAGTGCTGAGTAAAGGGGAAGGATCACCCCTTTTGACGACACAGGACTCCTGAGGGTACCTCACCAGTGCTGAGTAAAGGGGAAGGATCACCCCTCTTGACTTGCTGGCCACACTCTTCCTGATGCAGCCCAGGATGCTTTTGGCCTTGTTAGCCCCCAGGGTGCATTGCTGGCTTATATTCAACTTGATGTCCACCAAGACCCACAGGTCGATTTCTGCCAAGCTGCTTTCCAGCTAGACATTCCCCAGCATATACGGGTGCCTGGGGTTGTCCTCCCCAGGTGCAAGACTTTGCACTTCCCCTTGTTGAACTTCATGAGGTTCCTTTCAACCCAATTCTGCAGACTGTCCTTATCCCTCTGAATGTCAGCAGAGCCATCTTGTGCATCAACCATTCCTCCCAGTTTTGTGTCATCTGTGAAATACTGAAGATCCACTTTGCCCCATCCTCCAGGACATTAACAAAGAATTTAAATGGAATTGACCTCAGTATCAACACTTGGGTCCACCACTACTGACTTGCCTCCAACTGGACTTTGTGCCACTGTGCCAGCTCTCTGGGCCCAGCTGTTCAGCCAGTTTTCAATTCACCTCACTGTCCACTTATCTAACCCACAGTTTGCCAGCTTTTCTATAAGGATCTTATGGGAGATAATGTCAAAAGCCTTACTAAAGTTGAGGTAAGCGTCATCAGTGCTCTTCCTTCATCCACATAGCTAGTCACCTTACTAGATAGAAGGCCATCAGGTTGATTCATCAATTCATGCTGATTATTCCCAATTACCTTCTTGTCTTTCATGTGTTTGGAAATATTTTCCAGAATTAGTTGCTCCACCACCTTCCCACCCTTTGCCACAAGCTCCCCTGTCCCATTCATCAGTGTGTCCTAGTCTTCCTTTTGCTGTTTAAATACTTGTAGAATCCTTTCTTGTCAACCTTCACAACCCTCACTAGACTCAATCCCAGGTGGGCCTTGTCTTTCCCAATCCCATCCCTTCACAATCAGTCACCAACTCTATATTCCTCCTGGGTCATCTTTCCCTGGTTCCACCTCTTGTAAACTTTCCTTCTGTGTATGAATTGAGTCAGGAGATGTACACTTATCCATGCAGGCCTCCTGCCATCTTTGCTTAATTTTCTACTTGTCAGGAAGGATTATTCTTGGGTTTGGAGGAAGTGATCCTTGAATATCAGCCAGCTCTTCTGGACTCATCTTCTCTCTAGGACAATCTTCCATGGGAGTATTCCAAGCAGATCCCTGAAGAGGTTAAAGTCTGCTTTCTCATAATCCAGGGCTGTGGTCCTGCTTTTCTGTCCTGTTCTCTCTTAGGATCCTGAACTCCATCATCTTATAGTCAGGGAACCACAGGCTGGTCAGTCTCACCTTGATCCTTGGGAAGATGATGGAGCAGCTAATTTTAGAAACTAGACACATGAATGGCAAGAAAATCATCAGGAGTAGTCAGTATGGTTTCACCAAGGGGAAGTCATGCTTGACCAACTTGGTAACCTTCTATGATGAAATGACTGGCCTGGTAGATGAGGGGAGAGCAGTGGATATTGTCTACCTAGACTTTGGCAGGGCTTTTGACACTGTCTCCTATAAGTTCCTTATAGACAAGCTGTTGATGTATGGGTTAGATGAGCAGACAGTGAGGTGGATTGAAAACTGGCTGAACGGCTGGTCCCAGAGCGCAGTGATCTGTGGAACAAAGTCTAGTTGGAGATCAGGAACTAGTAGTGTACCGCAGGGATCAATAGTGGGTCCAGTCCTGTTTAACATCTTAGCTAACAATCTGGGTGATGAGGCAGAGTCTGCCCTCAGAAAGTTTGCAGATGACAGAGAACTGAGATTAGTGGCTGATATGCCAGAGGGTTGAGTTGCCATCCAGAGGGACCTCAACAGGCTGGATAAATGGGCTGACAGGTACCTCATGAAGTTCAATAGCTGCAATTGCATCTTTGAATCCAAGAAGGGGGATGATGTCTTTTAAAAGTTTGTCAATATAAATTATAACTAATATATGTAATGGCTGACACTCTGCAGCGGCTTAAAGAATTGTTGGCTGATTAATGGCACAATTTCAAATTGACCGATCAGTTTAAAATACAGTTATGGCAGAGATACTGTAAAGCAAGTCTCATTCTTTCTATAAAAGAAAGCAAGGGAGACTCAGGTAATCGCTTGCCAAATTTTGCCAGTCATTTGTCAATGGACCTTTTCTTCCATAGCTTTAAGCTTTAAGAGGAAACAATGTGTGTCACACATAGCAGAAGCTGTTATGGTTGAGCTGTAGAGATCCAACAGACCAAACCTTAGCATAGCATGCAAAGATGGGTCCCTGGAGATGACAAACTCCTCTAGCCACTGAGGTCTAAAGGGGGATGCTAACCTTATGTGCTAGACATTCAGCAGTGGCCTGGGTGGCTGTACCTGCACCTGTTTTCTTGAGCTGTGAGAAAGCCAATGAAGCTCAGAAAAGCACGTTTGACTTGGTCTGGGGTAACAATCGCTTGGCACAGTAGCACTGACTGTAAGCACTTTCTGCTTCCTCCCTTGAAATATAAAATTTACCTTATATTTGGAGCTGCCTTACATTCATGCCAGTGCACTGTCCTCATATCATCTGCCTTTGTTGCACTCAACACTAGTGAACTAATCTCTTTAAGCTAATCTGAAGGCAGTTTTTTTTGTCTCTGGATTTAGAGTGGTAAATAAATGCAACCATGGTTGAATGGATAAAGGAATAAACTGTAAATAAAGATAAGAAACACCTACAAAGAAGGTACTTTTTCTTCTTTTTTTTTCTGATATTTTAAAAGATGAAACTCTGAATGACTAGCACCATTCCTTTTTAGTTTTATCCGAGCAAGAGTTGACCCTGAGGATTTGCATTTGCATTTGCTACAGCCAGAGAGAGCTAGGTCCTTCTGGCAACATTCACTGATGGGAAGGCACTTCGGCTGGGGTACCTGCCCAGAGGGATGCCAAGCACTGCTGTGTTAGTGCAGACTCCCACAGTCCTTCACTGCTGGGCCTTTGGTGATCTCACATGGCCTCACTTAAGGTTTCACTTGGGGGATGAGGTCTCACTTGAGGGATATGTTCATGTGGTCCTGAACCACAGCTGGAAAACTGACTGGATGTACATCATATCGTTGAAGACATCTGTTTGTTTGCAAGAAGGTAACTTTTTTTGCTGGGGAATTATCATCTTGTGTTTTCTTTGTGCAATTAATAGTAAGAGACCATGTATTCCCAGATGTCATAACCAAGGTGTTTGCTGAAACAGGGAACAAGAAATGTGCCATCAGTGAGCTTCAGTCTGCTTATGACTGTGTGGCATACAGCACTCAATATGCAAGATTTGAGCACTCTAAACTTTCAGTGATTCCCCTGACTGCTTTGTTAAAGAAGATATCCATCCACTTGAGTTTGGATTTCAGGTTTTCATGGAGCTTTTGATGGATCTAGGAAAAAAGATATTGCTCAGCATCAGTGGGCAACTACAGCCATACTCCCTACCTAAACCTTAAGACACAATACAGCTTCCCCACATGCTGAAAAGCTGAAAAACAAGAAAAATAATAATTTATGCTAGCTCTAAAAGGGTTAACAGATTTTGAATGTAATAGGTGGAACTTAGTTAAGATTCAGATGCTGAGTTAAGATACTAACTAGGAGAAACAGATAGATTTGATCCCCCTTCATATGCACTGTCAGGAAATCCTTAGTGGTTTATGTACGGTAGGAATGGAAAATGAAAAGCTTACTTCTGTGTCTGTATTATTTATTTAATACCTTCATTTACTTTTTACAGAATCTGGCTGTATCTTTATGGCCATGACTGTGTGGAGGTTTTTTATGTGTGTTAACAGCTCTTCAATAAATCTTAATTTTATGACTTTTACAGCACTGTAAAACAGAACAGAGAAAGTTTTAATGGACAGTAGGTTCACAAGCATTACCAATGCATGTTCTTCAGTCTTCTGTCAGCTTGTAAGGATCAGTATGGAGACATTTGTAGCTGCCTTTAGTGTTAATGCATTTAGCAGAAGGAGAGCATGGTGGATTAATTTCATTTTCACATTCATTGATGTCTGCAAAATGAATACACACTGATCAATGATCATTACAAATTACAGAGAGGGATTACTACCTTCTCATACATACCTTCTACAAGTATTCATAAATGAAAGGTATTGTACACTTCCAATGACACATAGATACTCCCAAAGATCCTCATGGTTACTGTTTAAAGCACAAAGTTGGGGGGTTTTTTTGTTTGTTTGTTTGTTTTGGGGGTTTATTGTTTGATTTTAGGCTGGAAATGATGAAAAAAATTGTTGTTTTGGTAATCTGCCAAAAGTTACAAATGGCAGTTGGCTGAATTTTCAAAAATGCAAACTGTAAACTTGAGGGCCCTTCTTGCATGTGTTCATGTCCTAAGACTTTGAGTTCCTTTATAAACTTTTTCCATGCTGTGCTCCATAGAGATAGTGAAAATAATAACACTGACAACAGTTCTGTACACTTCTAGGGATGATTTTTGAGGAGCCAAGGATTCTGTTAGCTTTTATTACAAAATTTGTAACAGTAATCTGTGATATTACTGCAAAGATGGTTATTTCTAGGTGCTATATAAATTCTGTGAAATGTCAATATCCTGACAGATGATGAGCAGATGAACAATTATCCATTGGAATATGTACATAAACATACTGTTCCCGAGGCCATTCAAGACCTTTCACTTTCACATTCTGATTATGTGATGAAATGGGAGACACTGTGGAGTGCACAAAAGAAAGCACTCAACGAGGGAAAGAACAGAGTCTTTTCTATATTTCTGCATCTTTCTTCTTTCTGTGTAATATTTACTTGCAGGACTGGATTCAGTTGTATAAAGGTGTCCAGTACTGTTTTAGATAGTTTCACATTGGTCCTGTATAATATTTGCCAACTTGTTCAATGTCTCTGACCTGTGTTCCTGGGAAGCACTGCAAGCCCATACGTGAGCAACTAGCTCAGCCTTCAGTCTCTTCTCTTTTTGGTTGTATTCCTTTCCTTTCTTTTCCTAACACAATGTTTGGTCTGCTTCTTCAGGCTAAGTAGCTCTTTTTGATCATGATTAGAAACTGACCTTGTAGGGATGATTTTCTGACTCAGTTTAGCATTGTCACTCAGACCACTTAGGGAATTCTATCATTGGAAATAGGATCAAGCCTGGTCATCTCTTAAATTTTAATGCAAAGTAGTAGGTGTGTCCAAAGCTAGCCATCAACTGAGGCAGTCGAGAGACTAATCATGGAAGGAATAATCTTAAACTTCAGCACCCTTAAGAAACACTAACTCTCATAACACCCCGCTGAAGCAGGAAAATATTCTGTTGTTCAGGGTGAAGATTCCTCAGTAAGTATTGCTCTCTTCAAGACTACATTTTGGGTTAACTCCCACTGGCTTCGTCATCATCTGGGAAGGAAAACCTGCACAAGCTTTGCCTGCACTGTAATTCAAACGTGCTATTTCAGCTTTTGTAGATCCATAATCATGCTATGTGTTAACTAGCTAGCTCTTTTTTCTGTCACTAAATAGTGCATGTCAGATCTTACCAGCCTACCCTACTACTCAAAGAGAGCAGTACTTTATTAAAGCAAAGCAAACAGAGCTATCTATCAAGAGTTAGATAACACTGAATATAAAGGAAGGTAGCATAGTCTAGCGCTAAATGACTTCCTAAATCAATAGAAATTATTTCTGTCAAAGCCAAAGTTAGTAAGCAGGAATTAACAGCACTCAGATTCCTATGCTTTTGCCAGCAGGCCATTCTGTCTTTTCCAGAGCAGCATATAATTTTGAAACCATCTGCAGAAATGCTAAGCTCTATCCTCCTCATTATATTGCTTGACTTATTCCTAATTTGCTGAACATTTAAAAGAATGGGAACACATTGCACAGACATGCATGGAACAAAGTGCTTTCTACTGTAAAACTCAAGTAGCATCTGCGTAAGTGGGTTTTGATGGTTTTCTTTTAATAAAGGCATTGCTTATTTAATATATGCAGCAGCTTGTTTTCCTATAGCAGATATACAGTCCTTTGTTTACATTACTGAACATATTAAAAGAAACTAGGACAAGGAATGATTCATTCATGTAACTTGTTTATTCAGTTTGTTGCCAGAACATTAATCTATTGAAAAAGATTTTATTATAATTCATTTAAGAGCTTTATTTCTTTATATGGTATTTATGTGGGTGGAATTCAGTGGATAAATAGGATTTGAATAAAGGAAAGAGCTGCAAATTTCATTTGACTTTTTCCATATCAGGTATACAATTAGAATGAATAGCTTTCTATTCTGCTGTCACAGAAATACTGATAAGCAGACTTTATTGCGGATCAGCTGCGGCACTTGCATTCAAATTAATTTACCACCGTCCATAATATGTTCCTAAATATGGCCTTTTCAGGTTTCATTTTCTCTCATGTTCTCATAAAGCTGAGCAGTTTGAGTATGTGTGTGTATATATATATACACATGTATACATACTTATATGCATATATGTATATCTCAGTATGTATACACCCCCCCATTATAAACGCACACAGTTGAAACACACACAGAGAGAATTCATCTTTCATAGCTGCAGAGTGAATGTCTTGTAATGAAATATTTGCTACATTCTCTTTCTTCCTATCTCATTCTATTCAACAGTAAATATAAGGCAAACAATTAAAACAAGACAAAAGTATTCCCCTGAATCTGTGTGTGAAATGTCAAAAGACAATATCTTTTTACTGATTTTCCTCTGCTCTACATTTGTACCTGCAGAAGTAATTCACTTCTGGCAAATCTTTTCACAGTTATTTGAGAGAGGGAGGTTGGCGCTGAAGTGATAATTAATTTGCTTAATTTCACTTATTCACTTCACAGTATTTTTTTCTTTGTCACTTTTGCTTAACTTATTAGGATGATATATGAACTACTGGTCTGAGCTCATTTTGTATCATCTAGAGCATCCATTGAAACAATGCTAGGAAAATGACAGCTGTCTGTCTTGCTGTTATGTTGAATGTAGGAGAAAGCAATGTATAATTCTGATTTGCTGGTTTTTTTTCCTACGGGTTGTTAATAGACTCGATTTTTGCTTAATTAGGTAATTTTTAGTGACATTTTCCTAGCCTCAACTTGATTGCTGAATCAGGATGGGTGGAGATTGAGGTAGCAATTCTGGAGCAAGGAGAGTTTCACGCTATCACATTGTTGTACCTATAAACCCAGAAGGTTGACTACAAGAGAGCACAGGAGGGAGTTCGCTTCTGATGAGTTGTGCTGGACTTTAGCTTTTAGAAACATAAACAACAATAAAAAAATAGATACCTATACAAATGGGAGCCTCAAAGTTCCATCCTTTCCTTGTGCAGGTTAATTGCTCCTCTCCTTGCAATTGAAATCCATGTTGACATGAATAAGTCACTGTAGATTTTCCAAATTCTGAACAGTATACAAAATCACCATTTTCCACACTCTCTGGTGTTCCACATATTTCCTCTACAAATAAAAAGACTGGATTACAAGCTTTTTAAAAATTACCACCTTACCCTCGCAAATGGACATTATTCTCCATTACTGCTATAAATTAACTTCAGCAAAATTACTCACATGTTTTAAGGTGATCAAGAATTTAGTTGTTCATTTCTGGACAAGAATTTATATGGAATACCTCAGATTTGACTTATAATCCTTGTAAAATTTGCATTATGTTCTAACATTATATTCTGCAGAATTCTTAGTTAATATTTTCTATGATGTAAGAACTCCTGCCCCAATTGCCATAATGTCTGGATATCTCACAAGCCATTCATGTTATCAGGCTGAAGTTGGCAAACACTTTTTTACAAAGGAAATTGAGAAAGAAGGAGGAAAGACCTAGATCCCGTTTCTAAGTGGTAGAAATACTAAAGTCCTGCATTAGACCAGTAACTCAAGACCTGCCACAACCCAGGTCAGTGCTCTAACTGCTGGTTACTCTCCCCTCCCATCAGGAAAGATTGGTAATTACCAGATTACCTTCATGATAAAATTCTTGCCAAGCTTCTAAATTCATCCCAGGTATCTTGTCACAATGCTTAAAATCCTGTGGAAACTTTCCAAGTTGAAAGGCATCTGCTGGCACTTCAGAAATTCCTGTATTGTCACAAATCACGCGGGACAATGAGTGTTTTTTGAGTTCATGCTTTTGAGCTTCTGTGAAAACATTATCATTTTCCCACCAAAATCTGGAAAGATTGAAAGAAACATTTTGAAAAGATCAAATTCAAAGAGCTGATTATTCTTACTTTCACAGTATCCTATGCAAAAGACCAAAACCAAACAAACGAATGAATTATAGCAAAATGTAGGTGGATACAACAATAATAAAAGTAAACACCATGATCTGCAGACTTACATACCCAGCTTGAAACTCACGAAAAGGCTAGTGTGAGTCTGACATATTGATTAACTCAGATGATGTGTTAAAGTCAGTTGGTTAGAAGTATTAATTATTCACATTTGCAGAATTGCTTTTCATTGATGATACAGGGCCACAGAAAAAGTTACAATCCTGAGAGAAAGATTTGGAACTGATTTGTTTGAACTGGATGCTTAATCTTATGAACATCAGCATTCACTGTGCACTCATAAATTGATTTAAGCATAAATTACGGGAGGATTACAGGAGTCGCCATAATAGACATCCCCATACCATAGCTTTTGAATTCTGCTTGCCTTTACTGAGTGGTTGCTATGAAAACAGGTATTGCTGAATGCTCCTCTGTTTAATATGGAGTTCTTCATTTGCTAAGAAAGCTGCAGATATGCAGATTAATTGTAGTAGAAAATTGTAAGACAGTAATTGTGCTTTAGACCATACAAAAATGTAAGCTAAGAGAACTGGCTGGAACAGAGAGGAGCTGCTTTTCCCATTTTGCCAGATGGGGAGTGCGGTGCCAGAATAGAAGAACCAGTTGATGTTACAAAGGTGTAGCTGTTAAACAATATAGGCTATATATAATATATATGTGTGCATACACACATACGTATGTTTTTAAAGATAAAAAGAAAGGGAACAAAAAATGGGGAAAGAAAAAAAGACAAACATTTTGTACACAAAGACATGCCATGACTGGCAACGAAGTCTTTCTGGAGAGTTTCCTAGCACGTCTTCATTAGTACATTGAACAGTGTTAAGCACCACTAAACTGCTAAGATACTTCCCTGTGATTCTCAGGCCAATTAGGATTTTCCCAAACGCTAGGCAGAATTTGTGGTAACGTGTCCTAGGACCATTAGCAGTAGAGTATGGATGTGATTGCACTGTACAAATTGACCCCAGGGTTAACACAGGACTTGGGCATCCATAATACTGGGGGAACAAGGCTGGGATTTCTAGAAAAGTCTGTGGGTTTTGTGTTTACATTTTTCTGATCAGAAAGGAACAGCAATGTTGACTGGACCCTGTTCAAACCTGGCATGTGTGCTGGGTGTTAGGTTTTTTAATTAGCTGCCTGAAATGGTACCATGCAAAGGAGAACTCTGATAGTCCTGTATATGTTCTGGGGAACATGAGGACTGCCAGTGTGCCCTGGATGGGGGGGCTTTTCAGGGCAAATTGGACCCTGCTGCCAAGAGGAGTCTACCAGTTAAGTAAGGTAAGTGCATGTGAAATTTTGGAAAGCTGCATTTATTTGTAGGCAGTTACCTACAGCCGGACAATTTGAGGAGAAACCTGTCTCACTTTGCCTGTATTGGATGAGGAGGCAATCTATAGAACCAGGGAAGGGGGGAATGTCCCCCACCTCAGCAGCACTGTGACAAGAAGTGCAGGAGAGATGGACGGGCTGGACAGAGAAAAAAAGAAAGACGCTTTCCTCCTACCCCTTACCTGCACACTGTCCCCAAACTTCTCAGAGCAGCCTAAAACCTCACTGACCGTTCCCAGGCCCCTTTCCATAATCAAAGCCATCAAAGACTTTGCTCCACTCAGCTCTCCTATACTGTCATTACCCCTTTCATGTGCATTAAAAGCTATTCTACTTTCATCACAAAATTCAGGTTTATCTACACTGCTGAGAAGGCTTGAGCAGAAAATTATTTTTTAATCTATCCAGCAAATAGATGTTTACTCTAACAACGTTGCTCCAATCGACCTGTATCAGGTGACCAAAATTTTACAGGTGAATTTTACAGGATTAGAGTAAAAAAAGAAAGAAAAAAGAAAAGAAAGGAAAAAAAAAAAGAGGTGCAAGGCCCCTTATGCAAAGACTGAGAAAGTCAGCTTCAGAATTTTTGCCCAGCTATTGCAAATCCCGAGATCACAAAAAGATTCAGAGTAGGAAGAGATGGAAAAAGAAAGTCAAGGCTGATGGAACAGAAACAATTTGTTCCAGGTGATTTGGCTGAGGCTAAGATAGTGCCTGAGTTGAGTACATTGGAAAAAGAAATCCCTTCATGTTTTGTCAGATTACTGACAAAAGGTTTTAAGGCTATCAGAATGGAGCTCAGTCAGTCAAAAATTCCCCTTAGTCCTGATTTCTGAACTTAAACGAGTACGTTAGAAGAGATGTTTTGAAATCCCTACTTACTGACATGTCAATTAGAGCATCTAGTAATCGTGTAGTGTTACTCTGCAGATGCAGATAACACCCAATACTCCGTCTGACAAGGCACTGTAACGAGTGTTAGACTTTTCCATTCTGTGCTGGTTTTGGCTGGGTAGAGTTAATTTTCTTCGCAGTAGCTGGTATGGGGCTGCAGTTTGGATTTGTGCTGAAAACAGCACTGATAACGCAGGGATGTTTTAGCTATTGCTGAGCAGGGCTTACCCAGAGCCAAGGCCTTTTCTGCCTCTCCCCCCACCCCACCAGCGAGGAGGCTGGGGGGGCACAGGGAGTTGGGAGGGGACACAGCCGGGACAGCTGACCCCAGTGACCCAAGGGATATCCCACACTGTATGGCGTCATGGTCAGCACATACAGCTGGGGGAAGAAGGAAGCAGGGCACGTTCAGAGTGACGGCATTTGTCTTCCCAAGTCACCGTTACGTGTGATGGAGCCCTGCTGTCCTGGAGATGGCTGAACACCTGCCTGCCATGGGAAGTGGGGAATGAATTCCTTGGTTTGCTCTGCTTGGGGATGTGGCTTTTGCTGCGTAAAAGTGAGTTTCCTCACTTTTACTCTTCTGATTCTTTCCCCCATCCTGCTGAGGGGAGTGAGCGAGCGGCTTTGAGAGGCCTAGTTGCCAGCTGGGGTTAAATCAGGACACATTCTTATACTTACTGTGTGACAACTGTAACATGCTGTTACACAGTTTTAACTTCTCTTAGACAGTTCCATTAGTATTAATGACAGAATACCATTTAAAGTTTAAGTTAGCAGACATGAACTTTGTGGCAGAAACTTAGGGAATTCTTTCCTTACTAGAACTCTCTTTTTCTCATTTGGAGTTAACATATTAAATTTCGCTTAAGTTTAATTAATGCTAGTAGTATTGTAACACACTGAATAATAAGTAGTATCATAAGGCACTGAATAATGGAAACAAGGCTGGAAGGACCTCAATAGATTATCCTTCCCCAGATAGGGTCAAGTGCACCTACACAATTCAGAGGACTTTCCACCACGTTTTTAGCACAGCTGAGTGGAATGTTTGTTGTCTATACAGTTTATGCTAATAAGATACCACCTTTATGATTAACATCGCTTTTTCCTGTGAGCTAATTAATTAACATTTTTTAAAGTTCAGATTTAAATTCTGCCTTGGATGCTTATTTACATAATGGTTTCTTTCCACAACAGTGACTTATAAGAGGAGCTTAAAGGTGAGCGTAAAGACCAGATGTACTTAAAACACCACTGCTAGCATGGTGTGAGCAGTTTAAAATTAGTCTTCTCATGAGATTCAAAGTTCTGCCACAAGTACATGATGGAAATGAAAAAAAAGGTTGGTTTTATAATTGCTTCAGGAGCAGAAGCAAGATATAAACTGCGTCTTGCGCCACTTTGTGACCTGAAGCTGCGTTTCTCCTGCCTTCCTGGTGTGGGGAGTTGTAGTGGCACAAGATCCTGGTGGCGGTTGTGCGGGGCTGGGTGAAGGGACATCCTATGCTGTGTCCACCGAGGGCATTCTGGGCGTACTCTGCAGTCCCAGTTCACATCAGAGCGGGTACATGGTGTTTTTATTATCCCCTCCAGGAAGCCTGAATTACAACTCTTTGCCTATCCCTTCTGATTTTGTTGTGGTTGCCATGGAAGATGTTGAGGTTCTTCCAGCTCCTGAGCGCCGTGCCGCCCTCAGGGATCAGATAGCTAAAGCCCGCACAGTGCTGCATCCATCCACACAGAAGTTAGATGCCTCTGCCACAGTTAACTGTCGTACCTTGCATTTCCACCAGGATTGCAAAGCTGGACGTCTCAGTACCACAGAACAATCTCCATGTCATCTGGAATTGAGACTATATACAGACCAAAGAAGAATAAGCAAAAGCTCACCCAACAAAACTGAAGGAGCTAGGATAAAAACGTGGAAGTGTCAGGGAATAATTTGTCTAAAGCATTATTAAGTGCCATGTTGTCATATGTTCTGGGAACTATCTTCAGATATTTGTAAAATATCCATTGCTTCTGCTTTTTTACACAAATGATTCAACAGCATGAATAAACTCACCGATCACCATCCCTTAGTGCTTTCATTTGCTTTCCAATTATACACGCAAACAGGGGACCGGTTCTAGCACCTGGAAGAAAGTCTTCTACCAGACCACCAAGCCAAACATCAATATTGCTAGGATTATGGTACAATTCCATGATTTTTTCAGTGATATTGTGATTGGTTATTACTGTATTCAGGTCAGCGTGAGTTTCCAGTTTTGGTAAGCCACAGAATTCTCGCCAGTCATTGTATCCTGTAAATATTATGTTAAAAGGATGATTAGACTTGGTTGTTAAGCACGATATATGAAATTAATAAGCACTGGATTCTGACAACCTTAATCACAGTCATAGACAGTTATGTCTAAAAACAGGCCTATGATTATTGGTTAAATTGATCAGGGAAATGATGGCAGGATCTGAAACTACAGGATATGCAATTGCTACATCATTTTCATGAAGGAAAACAAAGGTTTAAAACAGTTCTCCCATATTTAAGCAATGAAAACATGATAATAGGAGCATGCACTGTGTCTTGAGATTTCCAGGCGAGGAATACAGGAGTTAGGTGAAGAGTGGGCAAGAAGTAACCTGAATGAAGTTAGTTACTAAAGTTCTTTACTAAGGAGAATGTCCTAGGGCATATGTCCAGCTCTCTGGAAAACAGATTTCCTTTACATTCTTTCACATCGTTGGTATTAAACTCCCCTACCTCCCAACAAAACTTTAACTTCTGATCTGGGAGATCAAACCTCCATTGCTATCCTTGGGTAATGGAGAGCTGTAAACTCCAAGCCAGAGTCAGAATTCATTTCTACGGTCCAGGGCCAATGACTTGTGTATTCCTAGCTGCGGAGTCGCATAGCAGAAATGGAGAGGGTTGTCACCCAGAGATACAATGCCATGTGGCGATCAGTCAGCCCTACCTCCAAGGGTAGGACATCAGGCTTAGAGCACCGAAGAGCAGCCATGTTTGTTCCTTAGTCATGCAGACAAGTGATCTGCTCAGGCAGGGAGTCAGGGTACAGTTTAAGAAACTAAAAATAAAGAGGCCCTATCTGCCATGCTGAGGATTGATTCCTCTGCTGTCAGAAGCTGTGGCATGCTTGTAAGAGGTTTTTACACAGAACTGGGTACCTACTGTATTTTTTAATAGCTGATACAATCAAATTGAACTAATCTCCAGCAGTACACCCATGGCCTGATGGGCTAATGCTGCTTGACTGTTAGTTCAATCTTACCCTGGGCTGACTGGAGTAAGAAATCTAGTGCAAAAAACAGGTACAAATGTGTAATATTTCTCAGAGTGAGGTTTACACCTAACTAAGCCATCTACACCACTTCTGGAGACCTCTCAACACCTTCTATGGTTGGAGAGCCAATGAGGTTGTATCTCAGTTGACCTGTCCCATTGGCTGCAGGCAGCTTGCTGATGGCAAGTAGCTGCTGCAGGCAGAAACCCCACTCCTCTGGAGCTGGTTCCAGCAAGAACGAGCCTCAGGTACCTACACCGAGCACACCCAGAGCCACACACTAGTACTGTCCTTCTAGATTCCAAACTTAACAGATGATTTTAATTTCAAATGCTGTGGGAATATTTTTTTTCCATCAAAGTTAAATATATTAGCAACTTAAATTTTAAGAGAGACTTAAAATACTTTTCTCATTATCAAAGCTATTATTTAAAAGCTTATTATTATATGCCAAATATAAGCAGTTATCATTCAGTTACCAATTGGAAGAAGATTCAAGAAAAATCAATAGACCTGGGAGTCCGTGATCACGGCCACGCTGTAGATTTAATGATGCTAAATCAAGTGAACCATTATTGGACAACACAAACAGTTTCTCTGTTAACTCCTCATTCAGCAGTTGATCTTGCACCTGCAGTTTTGCAGAATGTGCTAGAAGACCCCTTAGTAAAGGATCCAAGCCTCCTATAAACACAAACATAATATAATGTTACAGTATATATATAAACCATTATAACTTTCTTAACAAATGTGAATGCATGTATGTTTCTTTTGTCTTTTAATCATTGGCCACATAGGCTTTTGCATTCATACACATGCGAAAAACTGCTTCATGTAGAAATAGAAGTAATAGTGCTATGAAAAGGCTCCATCTTCCTCCTCAGGTGTAAGAAAAATTTGCAACCTGATAATACATTCATCCACACAAAAGGTATGAAATATCTTCATCATCAATCATCAGTCTACTGTCAATCTACCAGAGTGGTTTAATCAGAAGAGTAACTTTTGTCTGATTCAGACAACTATGTAACTCAGAATAATCATTCCAGTTTATATTAGTGCTCTGGAACCCATTCAACAACTTAAATCAGTGATGCAATTAAATAAATGTTCCTATTCCTAATTCAAAATAAGTAACTTTAGTTAAAGTATTAAAGTATTCTGGAAAAAAACCCAAACAATTTAAATAAAACCATACCTTCTTTAATGAGCCTCCAAGGACTAAAGAAAACTTCATGCAAATGAAGATTTGGGAGTTCTGGATCATCTAAATACTGTGCATTCAGTCGCCTTACTATTGGTTGGATTGTTGCATGACCAAAACGAAAAGCAGCTGTTGCAAATACATTAGAAACTGTAGGATTCATTGTGGGATCATAACCTGTATAAAGGCCAATATACAGATTAAAAGCATCTGGACCAATGATTTTGGGAATGTAATCTCTTAAAGTAATAATCTGAAAGAAAAGAAAAAGAGACATTTATCATTCAATGGTTTCATAGACAAATAGTGATGATTCCCAGGTGCTAAGTGCTTTTTTCTTCACTCATCTACGCCCAAGCATTTGACATGACTGAGAGCAGTACTAACTGGTAAACAATATCAGACTTATTTTTGCAGTAAGGAGACAAATGATGGGAGAAAATCTGTAGCATGGCTCAGTACAGTGCAAAAGTCAGGCCCTTGTTAGCTCCTACCATACATGCTAGACCAAAGCCTCTGAGCAGAGATTACCAGTGTTGCTCACTGACAGTCCACAGGGGTGATACAGCTCACAGGAGGTGTGCTGAGATTTAGAGCCTTGATTGTGATGCTGTAAATTACAATGCCCTTAAAAACGGCAATGAAAGCATGAATTACTATAAAATCTTTCAAGAATGGTTGTTGATATGAACAGATTATATTTTCAGACATATAGTTGTGACACAAATCCTCTTTACTAAATATTTGAAATGACTGGGCTTTAAAATACTGGTGCCCAGAATCCTTTGGTAGACATTTTATGCTAAACTCAAACCAATTTATAGACTCCTAAAAAACACACTTCAAAAATGAAAATGCTGATAAACACCTTCTGTCAAAGTAATAGTATTACAGTTGCATGAAAAAAAGCATATGAGTAATCATGACCAAAAAAAGGGGAAAAGAATCTAGTGCACCAAATAAAATGAAAGTGTGTTATAGGTTAAAGATTATGCTGAACTCAATAAAGCATAATAGGATGAATATGAGGCATAATGAACTCAATAAAATACCTTATAGATTCAATATAGTGTGCAATAAAATATACAGACAAATGTACTTTGAGCTTGATATAGTGCTTATTGAAAAGCTAGTTGGCATAAAATGACCTTATGAAAAACTTGTATCTTTATTTTAGGCACGGCAAAGAGACAAGTAAACCTCTCCAGAATTTGAGCCCTTTTCTCAGAAGGCAGAAGTAACAATCTCTTTGTATTTTCAGGTTAGGTCATGCAGTGAACAAAACATTTGAAAGGCAATAGGTTAGAATTCCTTTTACAGCTCCTTTAATACAGCATGTGAAGAAAATAAAATAATTGCTAGAAATTAATACTGACACCGTCATTTGAGAAGTTAACCTTTTGCTACATTCACAAAGGTTTTACAAGACAACAGTTCTTTCTAATTTTAGTTTTAGAGTTAGTTTTTACAAGCAAAGACTTTCAATAGGACTAGGTTAGCCATGGAGACAAACATCCTGATAGGACTGCAACTTTTTGGCTCATTGTAAATGAAATCTCAAGCTAAGCTGCTCATAAAGGCCAGATTCCCTGAAGAAAAGGGCAATTCAGATTTTTCATTTGCTCCAGAGGCAAGATCTTAATTTCTTATTTCCTTGGTAGGGGAAGAGGAGTTGCTGTTTCGAGACCTGAAAATTAAAAAGCTATGGGTAAAAAGGGGTCTTATGCCTGCCTTGAGCTAGGAGAGGCATCTGTTTGATGGAAAGTTCCAATGGCTAAATGAGGCTCCATCAAACAGAGGTGATTTTTAGACAATACAGATTAAGAAGATGTTACTAATACAGCAGAAGATGATAGTGCCAGAAAGAATCTGGACTCTGACAGAGAACCACATCTAAAGTAGCATCCAGTATTTGTGTGGACTCTGAATTTACCTTGCCTGAATTTGTCTGTGTGAAGTCAAGGAGAGGCTCGCTACAACTTCTCATAACTGACACATATACGTTTTAAAGAAAGGGTAAACAGCCAACAAACATCAAAATTATTTTGGTTAAAATTCTTTTGCATACACTTCCTGCTCTGAGAGAGTGATTTGAAAGATTTATGCCAAATATGAAAGGAAATAAACAAGTATAATACTTTCTTTCAATACAACGTTCCTTCAGCAACTGACATTCTCCTGTGGAAACAAAGGAGAATGCGCTTGCCTAAAAATATGTGAATAAAATCAGAGCCAGAAAGGGACTACATGGAAAAGAAATTGCAAAAAGTACAATGAATTGCTCTACCATTTATTACTTACTTTATGTCTCTTTATAAAAAATAAGTTAACTTTCAGGTGTTTGCAGCAGCATAAGGGATTTATGTGGATATAATGAGTCTGAACCTGCAAGGTACTTGGTGGTCTCAACTCCTTGTGACATTTGTGAAGTTAGTGGTAATCCAGACTCCTCTTAGGATACATTCAGCACCTCATAGCATCAACTCCAAGTGCTATAGAAGCCTCATTAAGAAACTAATTTTATTCAATAGTGTCAATATTTCTACTGTCTCATGGCAGTCATTGTTTCAATGGTATAATTCAGTGAAAAATGATGACAAATGAGCAACATCTTTAAAACAGATGCCCATATGCTCGATGTTTAAATGACGTCAGTAGTCTATATGACCAGGTAGTAACAGAGCAATTAAGAGTATTTAAATGTTATTAATTTAGTCATATTAGACAAAATAAAGTTCTAATTTCCTAGCAATTCAATCAGTCATTTGGTAAGTATCCAGACAGAAATGGAATCTGAGTGATTAGAAGACTGTCAGAAAAGGCTTTGTACAGATTTTACATCATATCATGAATCACATGTATAGAGTTTATGGAAAAACAACTGAATCCTGACCTGCAAACACAGTAATACTCCAAGTTAAACAGACTGTGAGCATGAAAGGCAATATCCCTCTCATTCAGAAGGCAGAATTACAACAGGGGTTCCCAAGTGGCCTTATGAACTTAGCGAGCATCCTGGCTGGGTTTACCTCCAGGCTGGGTCACCTCCAGCAGAAGTCAGCCATACATTAGATATTTGGGAATGGGTTACATAATTTCAGATTACTTTTGATGATTGTTTTGTTAATGTTAAAAGTTATTTCAAATTAGGTACAAAAGAGACAGAAATTCATACTACTTCTCAGAAGGTTCAGC